AGACTGGCTATGTTTCGGCCAAGCTAAGATTTCAACATTATAGCGATGAGGAGCATTTTAATGAATCGATGAGGACTGTAAGTTACATGAGCGTTGACGGTGCTATGGACAGTGAATGATGAGTCATCTACGGAACACAGTCAGGCGGCTGGAACACAGTCAGACGGTCGAATAACGCTATGTCAGCAACGTGAACTTTGAGCATCGATGGGTGCCACCATTGCCTAAGGGTAAGGGCCAGTATGATAAGTGGCTACAAAACTGATAAGCCTATAGCGGCTTAGCAGAATACATAGCTTATGGTTGGCCGCTTAGCGGCATTGTACACATTGCGTGTACATTGTGGGAGGAATGGTACATGCCACCGATGGCGTTGCTAACAGAACGCATTTGGTAACACCCACCACTACTGACATCGCACCGTAGACCAGCTGAGAGACAAGATAAAATAATCTGCTGATTACTGAAGGATGAATGTGAATGTGTGAATGAATGTGATTGAATAAGAATGAGTGACTATGACTATGAATGAGTTGAGGTGATTGAGGATGATTGAGGATGTGGTTGTGAGGAGCGGATTATCCGCGCTACCGAACGGGGGTAAGGTGAGTGATGGCATGTCTCCGCCGTCGAAGGCACCTGGCTTATATCGGCTGCGGGAGTCGCGTGCGTATGCAACCGCGGTTAATCTGGATTGTTGATCCTGGACCGCAATAGACTGTACCTAACTGCCTGAAACATTGAACGTCATTAGTTTCGTTGTTTCGCAAGGAAGTAGTAAACTGTTCTATGGTTACGCCTCCTTCGGATAAGCCATCGTCGCTATGCTACTGAAGTCAAACCTGAATCGCTATAGTGCCTGAAACATTGAACATAATTGATCGAGAAGATTAGAAAGGTTATATTGCGGTGTTTGATGTGCGAGTGCGAGAGGGCCACATTTGGACATCAAATACTATTATTCAGATAGATAGAGAACTTTTATAGAGAGAAGTTCTCTATACTTGTGTCACCCGTATCGTCCGTTTGATCGTCATGCGACATAAGGCGGCCCCAGAAACCTTCCATTTTTCCCTGTTTGGGGCAAGACTAGCCCAGTGAGTTCTGTTCGCTCTAGGAGCCCATTGAGCATCATAACTTTCTTGCAAGATTTTCGTGAAAAAGTCGTAGAATCGGGTCGGTGGTTTTCCTGCAGTACGTTTGACATCACAGGGAATTCACTCACGAACAGCTATTGTCCATCCGTTGTCGTTCATACTCATTACTTGTCCTCCTACAGTCCGGCGTATTCAGCGGCATGTTTGATTTTTAATTGTTGACGTAGGTGGTAGCTTTCGATTCCCTCCCTTATTAGCGCAATGTGGGATACACTTGGTCTCGCGCTTTCGGCTGCGCTTGTATGGCGGCCAGTGTTTTTTCATCATAGTTACGTAGTGACTAGGTTTCCCATGGACCTAGGTGGAGCATTCGATGACTACCATTTCGTTTAGAGTTAATGATGCACACAAACCCAATCCGTTCTTAGTGGACATCGTTTTGCGGGACTTAGTCGCAGACCAATCTTTCCATAGGCTTGATCAAAGTAGGGAAGCGTTCGCTCCATCCGGCAAATGCTGGTTGTTGTAAGAACGATGTCATCAGCAAAGCAAAGTTGGTATAGTGGCAGACCACCGATTTTCGCTCCCGTGTTTTCCAATTCCAGTGTTTGCATGACTTTCTCGAGCGAAGCGGTAAATAAATTTTGTGAGATGGTAGCATTACCGAACTGCCCGATTTTTCACCGACGTGCTGCTGCATCGTCGAATTTCGAAAAAGAGAAAGGGTGGAACGCTATATCCCTATTCCTTTATTTCGCATGAAGGTAGCAGGACATGCCTATTGAAGACAGTGAACAAGTTGTCGTGGATGATTTTCTCCATTGCATTTTACGAAACTGTAGAAGTTCCATCTGGACGTTGGAGCACACTTATCTTGGTCCAGCAGTTTACGAAGTTTCAGTAGGCCTTGAAACTGCCTTTCATAACCTCTACAGCTCCGATTATCTTGTGTTTTCAAGATCTCCTTTTATCGTTTTTTGCAGTATTCTGCATGTTCGGACGTCAGACTGTACCTCGTGTCTTTATACGCTCGCTTATCAGCTCGAGCGTTTCTGGAGGCAAAAACCCTTGTGTTATTTGCGAGCTTTCGACTTTAGTAGCGCTGACGTTAAGGTGTTGGATAGGCCATGCGTATCCCTTGTCGATGTTATCATCATGCAAAAGCCGATTAGTGGTCTGAGTTAATCTCAGTTTATGATTCTTTCGAATTGAGCGGCATTTTCTTCTTTCTGCAAGAAATAAAATGCAATGGTGCATAATCCAGTGTAGAATTTTAGGACAACAGCGACATCAGCTGAGCAAAACCTTCGATTTACTATTTCGTTGTGGTACTCTCTACTGAGACACTCCTATGTTTATCGTTGGATGGGGTTCTGGAATTGTGATTCACCATGAATGGTCTTTGGCGTCATGATAGACTCAGAGAGCCGCTCATCTTGTTCGTTCCATTCTAGTCTGTGAGCCACAATGCGACGTTCTTCGATTCTGTAAATGCAGTCTCAACGTTAAAAACTCCAGTGATGACTTTGAAGATTGTGTGGTCTTTCCTGTAGAATTTCTCTAAGCCTATGTAAATGTAAAACGCTTCGAGTTTCGTTTCGTCATAGCTTCATGTCGGTGCATTAACGACGAACACGAAAAAGTGGAAGGCTAAGACGACTGTCGAACAACTAACAACCTAAGTCAGACGTTTGCGATTGATGAAAAACAATACAGAATGGAGATAGGTATGCGGACGCACACTCGGAGTGACTCTTGGTGTTCATTCTCCTGCTGAACTTGTACCTGCAAAGAAACGAGCAATGTTATCATGTTTGCAGTTTAATTGGAGTGTAGTCAAGCTAATATTGTTAGATTATGCTATGATTGCAAATAATGAATGGATGCCCTTGTAAGCATTGATTCTATTTTGAATACTTAGATTATAAAGAGATCGCAGATGAGGATGTCTAACGAAATAGCCTCGTGCAATAGTGCATGATAGACGGAATTAACAAATACTTTTAAAGTATGAAATGCTGAGATATTTGCAAAACTCCGGAGCGCAGGTGTATGCATGGTGTAGTGGTGAGGTGCGCTGCTCCCCGGTAAGGACAACAGCGCGTGTTCGTTCCCCACTGCATACACCTGTGGTCCGGAGTTTTGCAAATATCTCAGCATTTCATACTTTTAAAGTATTTAAAAAGTTTTATATAAATCGCTGTCAACATGCAGTTGTATTCGAATATATTTTTGATATTTAGCTCTAGGAATGGCAATTTTTCCACTAAAATTGCTTCACATTCATTTTGAAAATGTGTAAGGAATTCTAGACTATTCTTCAGCTAGTGACCTTTCATTTTCAAAGCAAAAATCTGCCTGACAGAACTGATCGGCTACAACTTGATGTGCTTTTTTGGTGTTTTTGTGATTCATGGTTGCGAAAACATGAAGAAACGGAATGACGACGTCATAATAAAGTGCAGCTAACTAGGAGAAACTGGAGAGAAGCTGCACGAAAGTTTGGAATGATATGAAATGATATATCCAGAAAACATTCGCGATCTAACATTTCTACCTAAAGCCTCTTTTATAGGGTGTGGGGCAGTGGTCGGAGGCGCCCTGCAACACACGCTTGAAATCTATCTTCGCTCCCATGGCCCACCAAGTCTTCCATCCCTCCGGGGTCGGCAAATTGGTACCAGACTTCTCTGGGAGGATAGCAGCACTGGCTCGATACATTAGTGAGCCACCAAGAGTCATTGTAAAGACCAGATATGCATTCAATCACCTTTAGCGATGCCTAATGAAGTAGAATGCATAGCGCAACCCTCATGAATTGAGCAACACCGAGAGCTTTATCCTTTTTACCCTTTAATATCTCTGTTCTGCATTAATTGTTCCTTCGATTTTCTTTTGCTACACAGGTTGTACTCTGAGCGTGTTCACGGCACAAAGCATGTTTTCTCATTTTCTAAAAGTTCTTGGGTTAATAGAAAGTCACGCGTTGAAAATACTTTTCGCTCACAACTATCGAACTTGTATTAAATCAGAATTGCGAAGCAAGAAAATTGCTTGCGGAATTGTGTCTTTCCAATTATTCCATGTAAAGTTCAAAAGCTGGTCGTCTAACTGTAATGAAATTGTGTAAATAGAGAAATGCATTGGGTCAATTTATCGCTTTGAACGCTCTAATACTTAAATGTCGTACCTTTGATTTACTGCCTAGTATTTTTTCAAGCGGGAACTATATGAAATACAACCAGAAGAATGCTGAGATATCGGCAAAAATCAGAATCTCAGCTGGGCTTCGAAACTGCATTTACCTTCTCAGAGTAGTGACGTGCTGTTCATAACAGAAGCCGAAGCTGTTCCTTTGCTCCTCTTTCAAACATGTTCCCAGAAACAAAAAAAGCATGCATGAGAGAAAGGGAAAGCAACGGCTCAATTGCTGTGGTGGATAGCAAAGGAGACACCGGTAAAGTTAAACGCAGATTCGTAGTCCAACTGAGGAGCCGAATTGTTGATATCTCTGCTTCTTTCTGATTGTCTCACCCTGGTCTTCATTTGCACAGACAAAGTATGCGGTTTTTGTTGGTGTTATGTGAAAGATAGGAAGGCTGAACAAAGCATGATGAGAATTTGAAAAATTCATGAGCTTCGAATTCGACTACACACTTTCTTTAGTATTAGAAGTATAATTTCTTTCATTGCCTTGCATTTCTTCGACCTTTACAGCGATTTCGTAGAAGATTCAGGGATGCAAAAGGAACATATTTTGATGAAGCACTATTAAGTATTGAGGCAGAAATAACAAACACATAGCATAGTAATGAAGCACGATTTATTTGTTATCCTCTTTGCACTTTTCTCACAAAAGGAGACAAAGTACGCTGATGAAACATGACTGAACACCAAACGTCACTCATTCATATCGAAACTAAAAACTACAGTATGAAATGTTATTCTGTGCTACTTCTCCAGTAGTCGCAAAGGAAATCCTGCTGATAGGCAACACAATTCAAACGAACACCATCGTTGAAACCAGTGCAACTATGTTGGTTGATGAACAGAGGGCGCATAAAATTCAACACTGTCTTCATTCAACACAAAGTGAATCAATGCTAAGAAATACGATGAAAAGTCAACAGCTTTAACCTTTTAATGAATGATTCGAGAAATGTGTCATTACTTAACAGCTGAGGTAAGAGGGCGACACTTGTTCGTGTGAACAGGATGAAACTTCGATAAGATTTGCCGACAGTGAACAAACCTCTGGAAGTTGACAAATGGGCTCAGCAGCACAGAAACAAGTGCAGGTGTTGAGGACCTGCCATTCGAGCAGTTTTTGACAATTACTACTATACCTAAAATTACCCGAGGTAATACTACTTCATCTATTACGTTCCTCCATGTTACAAGATTTATTGCTATGTCTCTTAGCACGTGTTTTTTAGAGTGTACTCTGCTGAAAATGCAGCACGTGGGTTTCCTTACTAAATCCTTTCTAAAAAGGATACAAATATCATTACTGTCATCAATCCAGCCAACAACAATCAATGTTACTAACCTTTTTTATAGTAGTCTAATTCATCGAAATTAACGATATTAATAAGATATGCTCAGCAAAATAAGGCGTTACTGATGATCACTGGAAGAGTACGAACACTCAACTTGTTTGTAGCAATTTCAATTTCTTCTTGAGGGACTTCTACACATTCTTCTTTATCTTTAATCCTTGGATAAGGGCTTTAGACAGAGACAATCAAAGCCTTCGTCTTTTTCCTCAAGTTTTACTAAATCTCTCCAGAAAATAATATCTAAAGCATAGTTTTTAGACAGGTTAGTATTTCAAGCAGAGTGGTATTCCAGCTCCATTTATGATTTCAGGTCCTTCTCGTCATTTTTTGCACTGCATTCGTATATAATTTCCCTCATATTTTCGAAATATATGTGATAGACTGTTGGAGTATGCCCTATGGTGCCGTCTCCAAGGACGTGTGTCCCACTGCTCTGAGATCGAATCCGGTTAGTTGAGGCATGGCTATTCCTTTAGGCATTTCTCTGTTCCGGTTGCAAGTGACAATCGTAGATTAGCTTTGGGTTCATGCAAACATCGAAGTTGAATGTATGCAAAAATCAACCTGCTCAAATGATTCTCTGGAATCGATGTGCTTCTGTGCAGTGTTTCATTAGGATGGAAACAGGTTCTCAACACCTGTTTGTATAACCTTTAACCGATGTTCTAAACGTTATAACTAAAACCACTAACTAAAACTCTGTTTTATTTCTGGTAGCTAGTATTGGAACGACCTATGCAAAAACGGGCTTATGTTAACCTTGTTTATTGACTACATCCAGCTCTTAGTCTTTAGTTCAAATAAGAAGGTCTGGAGTTATATTTTGACAGTTGTTTCTAACCACAAACATTGTGTCCCGTTTCGTTAACAACGGCTCAGTCTCAGTCTCAGGCAAGAAAACTATTTAAGAGCGTAGGAGCGCTCCTAAATAAACTAAAACTAAACTTGTGGGCGCTTGTATATTGAATTCATTAAATGCCATGTTCTCGATGATGTGGCAGCAGATCCTCCATGTGTTCACCAGACACGTCTGAGCGACCAGCCGAAGGAACAGCCATATGCACTTGAACTATGTGTAAAGAAAATAATATGCCTAGTCCTTAGAGATGCGGAGATGTTCGCAAGTACTTTTGACGTTCAGAAGAAAAAACAGACCAACATCTTGTCTCTTGTGTGCACACAGGCTTCTTTTTATTTTAACTCCTAACAGTAAATGAGCAACCTACAAACGTAGTCGTTAGTTCGATCCCGATGCTTAGAACCCCGAATCCTTTCATCTCTTCGGGATTGGCAATTAGCGAGCAGCATTTCAGATTTACCTCCTCACATAATTTTTCGAAAGTGGATGTTAGTCTCTTTCACAGCTAAACTCCAAATATCTACCACAAATAATTAATATGGACGCATCGGAACTTTCTGATATTATATCAACTGTCACCAAAGATCAAAAGGTGGTGAGGTACCATATGTTCGCCAACAATACTAACGACCGTTTCATCATTACCTATCTTCGTTCTCACCCAGCAATTCGCTTTTTCGAGACTCCTAGATGAAGTGCACAAGAGATCCCTCTGCTTTTATCGTGTTCAACTTCTTCACTCTCCACCAGCAGGCGATGGGAAAAGATGTCCAATTCACTATCGGGCCGCGCGATTCAAGCGTATAAAGTTTCAATTTTGACCAGTAATACTTTTCCTTCTCTTCGAGCCTGATATGACTGACGCCTCACATTAATTATAATGAATAAGATATTATGGGAACTATTTAGAAAACCAAACTACATTCAAAATACCTTCCAAGACTAAATGCGAAAGTTTGGCAGCATTGTGGTTGGATGCTGGACGAAAATTCTTCATTAAATTCTACAACCGGCAATGCTCTAAAAACATGGAAAGACACGTCAAAGAACATAGAAGAGGCGTGAAAATAGGAAAACGAAAAGCAAGCAAGCGAGAAAAAGAAGCCTTCTTTCTTGAGATAGTCTACGGACCGTTGGAGTCGCATATCACTCGTACCGTTTTCAAAGAAAAATGAAACACATTTGAAATCGGCAGATTAATTGATACCTAATATTCGAGTAAACCTCCCTTCTATACACAAAGGCCGGTGAGTCCTTATAGTGAAGACCTGGAAATCCATAGAAGATCTATGCGTGGACTCTAAAGAATATCAACTGGGTCATCATTCGGTGACATTCATGAGGACAAAATCTTCAAAGAGCAGCAGAAACCACACCCAATTTCGAAGACCTCCGTGGATGACGAATGCGAGACAGCGATTCGGATGAAAGAAGCGATTAACACAAAGTATGGATTTGCGTCACATAGATAGACAAAGAAGAGAAAGAAATAAAACCCTAGTGTCTTTGTAGTATAGTAGCAATTGCATACGAACAAGCAAATTATGTCATCATCCGTGTTCCTTCTTAGAAAAATGGTAACTTTACAAATACAGAGGTAAAATAGAGAGGTTCATGAAACCTACAGCAATTATTTAGCACAAAAACCGCCCGAAGACACATTTTTTTGCTCCAGGTTCTCAGTAGCAATAGAAATCCTTGGAAATCAGGAGAAAAATAGCATACGCTATTAGAAAACAAATTTTAGTGAAAACCAAAGGGCAAGAATGGGACAACAAAGATGTACATGAAGTAGTCCGGCATAACGTGCGAGGCCCTAGATTCCTTTTTAAAAGAAAAATGAAAACCATTCTGGGAATTGGTCACCAACTTGTAATGTATAAAGATAAGCAAATCCAATAAAATCACCTTGACGGGTGATTGCTGATGGCAAAAGATCGATAGAACTAGCTGAGAGACAGACAAAACGAAGGACCCGGATGGTGTGGTGGTGAAGTGCGTTGCTCCCCGGTAAGGACAACAGCGCGTGTTCGTTCACCACCGCATACACCTGCGGTCCAGCGTTTTGCAAATATCTCAGCATCATTAAAATCACCTGCATTTGTTTTTCTTGGTCTGCGTGAAGTAGTTAAAACAAAAATTTTAGGTATATTTGACGATTTATTATGCGTATTTGTACACTATTGTCATGGCTGCAGGACCAGTTTTTCTGCTTATTCTGATTAACTCGGCTATCGTGGTTTCACTAAAGAGTAAAAAACGGGAGGAACAGAATGAGGGCGACATTTTAACGCTTGTCCTTGTCGTCTGTTTGTTCATCTCGTGCAACGTACTGGTGTGTTCAATTATATCTTTTCATGTAATCGCTGTTGCAAAAATCTCGTTACTTGAATAGACCTATTTTCCTTTCCAAATCCAAATTTTGTCGGAACAACAATGAAAATCTGTTGAAATCAGTTGAGAAAGGATATCTTTCATTGTAACTTTATTTTGAAGGCGTTCTTGTTGTCAGCCTGAACTTTAACCTTTTTGACCATCTTGTAACGAACTATATGAAAGCATGGGCGTGGGCAATATTATGACGTTCGTGGCATCCACACATTTGTTAGCGAAAGTTATCTCCCTTGTGTTAGATTACCCGGCTCATTTCACCGAATATCCAGCTTTAGAACGAATTATATTCAAAACTTCTGCAATCCGATTTATCAGACTTTAGGATTTTTTGAAAGCCACATTTCAGCCGTTGACAGTGAATTTTCTGGAGCTGCTGTTTATGATCATGAACGCGTACCTGATCGACCTCTCAAATCTGATGGTGGTGGTGAACTCGTCGTGTAACTTCGTAATTTACTACTCATTTGGGTCGAGCTTTCGTCGCACTTTGCACAGTTATTTGACGCAGTTAACAAAAGGAAGATCAACCGAGGGGTTGCGACGTGTTCCCATCCATTTGTTGCCTCCTCCAACCGAAATGCTCATCTGACTGTTTTCAATCATAAATACTTTCTTTAACAATACACTTGCTTATAGAAAGCGGTAAGTGTGCTAAAAAGTTATTTTGCTTTCATTGCGATGGAAATTTGGTTTATCACTTTCTCTGTTTGGTGATGGAGGCGTTCGGTTAGATCACTGTCGACTAGAACCTTCCAGGCTCTGAAAGCGAAATCTGTCGAAACATCGGCTTGACCGTAATAAAGAATAAAAATTAACACCTCGTGTTGCTCAACATGAATACAAAGACTTCCTTTAACACTTAAAAATTTGCGAACAATAAATAACACCTCGTTAGATTAAAGCTAACCTAATTAGAAAGCATAAAAGCGGTAGATACAGCGGTACTGAAAAAGAGAATGAAGAGCAAGTGGTAACTGCATAGGAATAAAACCGTTTGAGACGTTGACTATATCTTGAAAAACGTGTCCTGACAACCACGTTTGGTATTTTCCACAATACCTGCTCTCCTTCATGGTTACACTTAGAGAAGTGTTTTACTGAAATTAGCATGGAAAGAGTACTAAGAAAAGTAGGCATGCTTAAGCATGTCCTACATTGTGTTCTACTTCTTACAATGTAATTTCTAGTTTAGTACCAGAAGAAATTACCTTTACTCAATAAGGCAAATGTTAGCTGTTAGTTTCTTCTCTGATAACTGCTATGATGCAGTACAGGCATGTTTTGTTACGCCGTTGAGAGCAGAATAATCTCGCTGTGCTTTGGAGGCAGGGACAAAATTTTCGCTCAGTTAAGTAGAAGGTTCTTGTGTGAATTATCCAAATAAACAGACAGTCTCTTTCTTGCAGATTGGGTATTGGCTTTTGAACTATATCAAAGTTTTCTTTATGACGGTGTTCGCATGGACATTTATTACATGTTTTCATTAAATGTACTTTACTTTTCTCACATTTCAATGCCAAATTCATTACAGGCTTTTAGGAAAAAACCGTAACTGATGGTTCTCAACGAAGGATTTGCAATGTGTAACTCAATTGAAATACGATTTCGCTAGTTAAAATAACGACGATTGGAATCTACACATTTTTTTCTAGCAAGGTGCCAGTTTTCATGCTTTGGTAGGCTAGAATTCCGTGGCTTTGTATGCAACGAGTTTTTCAAAAGCTTTCTCAGCAGGAACTTGCTGTTTTCTTTTGGAGACGTGGTAGTTGCTTAGCGGGAAGTCCAATGAGTGTGGTAAGTGAGGCAGGTTCTCATAACGCAGCATATTCAACTTCTCTTTGTGTTATTTGTGTTTCTCATGGTCGTACAGTGCGACCTTTTTTGTTCATGAAGACTGTGTCTATGTTGGCTAATCCAGAAGAGTATGCTGCATTTTCTGCAGGATTACACTAATTTCGTGGCACTGCTCGGCTGTTGGACATTGTGGCATGTGTAGTGTAGAAGTTAGGGGTGCCCTGTAATATTTCATGTGTAATTGTTGAATCGAACCCATTGGAGAGGTTCACAAACCTTCCACGCCTCCTAGTTTAACAAATTGTTAACAGGCAAGTTTGAAGGGATGGCAGCACTGACTCTATACAAAGGAAAGTGACCTCAAGCCGTTGTATAAGCCAGATATGCATTCAATAACTTCTAACGGTGCTTGATGAAATCTAAATACATCTCGTATTCTTCAGTTATTGATCAAAGCTGAGAGCTTTTTCCTTTTTTCACTTTTTTTTCTGAGTTTTGTTAATATTGAAGAACTTAAATCACACTATTCACTCTAAAAGAGAAGAAGAAGTCATTATAACTACTTCCTGATTCAAATCAGGTTGCCGAAAATGCGTAGGAGCTCTATTTCAGTACAATTACCGAACTTGTGTGCTTGCGGTAAAAGACCCATTTTAATCGCACATTATAATGCGAGCGAGAAATTGGTAGTTTTTGCTTACCAAAAGGATGTGAGGGCGGACTTCGTGACTGTGATCTCACTGCCACTTGTTTATGTGTTCATCTGTTCAACTCTCAAGCTCTTTTCGTTTTAGCAGAGTCTTTCAAACGAGGAACAATTGTTGGTTGGTGAATTTAGAGTTTTTCCACAAACCCTAAAGCTGTTTTTGAAGGGGTAGCTTGGACTATCGACTTGAGCTGGATGTCGTCAACTGATGATATGGGTCTACAACGCTCACTGTTATGATAACTCATATTTACATCACTAAATCTCAAGAATAATCGTTGCATTGCACGATGGGTAGCCCTTTCTTTAGATATTTTTCAATGAGATTTCGAGTCACTTGGATGTTGCTCATATTCTTGGCACTTAATGTAGTATTTGCTTTGTTTGTTAAAAGTTTTCTCTTAGATAGGTTTCGAAATGGATACACTGAACCAATTCGCAGCGTGCTAGATCCCATCGATGAAATGTATCCTTTGTTGCAAATAGCAGTTAAGAATTCAGGAACACTCTTAACTAATAAATATTGAAAATTTCTTTGAAACAACGAGAATATTTAAAATATCGGTCAGAATAGTTGCGTTCATTCCTTTCTTGATGATAATTACATTTTCGAGTATCGGCATCAGAAACAAATGAATTTCGCTTGTTATCTCGTCCTCTGGCTATCGACTAATTGTAGGATACGTTGCCTCCTTAAAAAAGTCCACGTCATTTGGCAGCGAAACTCCTTTTAACAAAACTTGACGATAACCTGCGCTGATGACATAAAACGCCCTCGCATGAAAAACTGGAACTTCAAGGTAAATTTGCTCGACCAGCATTTAAAATGACGATGAGTAAAGAAGATTACAAGTCGTCAATTTGCATCCGAGCTCACACATTATTCTCACCGCAAAATGCGTGTATGACAATGATGTGAGTGAAAGAAGAGTTGGGGCCGACCTGACATCTGAATAAGGGTTAAAATCTACATGATGTCTAACATATGATCGAGGCATCTGAACTAGTTGGTATGTAATATGAGAGCATTTTGTTCCTTTCATAATTGTCAAAACTAGCACGACAAGGATTACTAGTTTCTTTTACACAGGCAATGCGTGTTTCGGGTCATAATGTAACCATAAGATTAGGCTGACTATGACATTACCATCTCATACCAGTTTTTTCACACAAAAATCCAGTGTAATCATAGTTTGCATAGGGCAGTGAAATCGTAAAGTTGAATTACACGTTGTTTGTTACATTTCAGCAGCAGACTTAATAGCTGAATAGATGAATCAATGGCGCGGCGACTGATTAGTGGATTATTAGCTGCCATTGCGTATCTGATCGACTTTCAAAGGTTGTTCTGTGTCACAATGTTGTCTCATTGAAAGTTCTATAATATATAGGTGTTGCCTTTTAACATATGAGCAGCCACCAGTGAGAGTCTATAAATCGAAATTGCAAAGTTAAGATACCGCAAGAAAACTGTGGGCTTTATTTGCCGTGTGTATCTACGACGTTGCTATCTGAATGGAAATGCTGGCAATTATTTTCGTCGTTGAACAAAATGGTATACGATGATAAGCTCGTAGTTCGTTTCGGCCTTTGTTTCGCGGCCATTTGCTACACAAGTCCAGCTGATTGATCTCTTCACAGAATGTTTTTCAAAGCAAAGTAATTAAACTTTAATATATATAGGACGACGTGATCTCTACAGAAGGCATAAGGTGCGACAATAATGATCTCTTTCAACTTTAACCCCACATATCTCAAATTAAAATGAGTTTTACTAATTGCAATAAATCGTACAAGTTTTTGGTTAAAAGAAGAAGTGTAAGTATTTCATTACGATAAAATTGTGAAATTCTGAAGCCCATGACATATATTTCTCTTATTTTACTGCTTGGAAATCTATGATTGGGACCACGAAGCAAATGAACAAGTGGGATTTTGTCTCACAAGAAAAGGTAGTGTTCCTCAATTTACGCTTTGTATTTGCACCTCCTACCGGTGTTCTGTTGAAAGCTTTCAAAAAATTTAATCCATAACCAATTTTCGGCTAGTAAATCTAAGCATTTTCAACTTTGAAGGGTATTAAATGAAAAGTTGTATGTAGTTAATGCGATCGAGCAGAATCCCTTTAAGTCGATAAAGCTGTTAACTCCTGAAATACTCCTAAAATGCCGAAAGGCTACCGTTTGTTGTTCGAAAAACCAACTTTACAACGAATGTGATAACAGCTGTGATAAAATGAAACCGAATTAGTGAGGCAAAAATAATATAATTGGTAAGCGAGCACGTTGCAAATAAGATGTGAACAGAAACATAATGGTGGAATAGTGTAGCAGCAATTGACATTTGAGTACAACTTATCTACAAAGAGTGAAGAGCACGCGAGCGAGTGAGAGTCTAAGAAGAGATAAAGAGAAATGATCGACCTCTAGATGCCGAATGAAGGCAGATGCTTCTGGAGTGGACGCGATTTCTTCCCAGTTAGTGTTTTTGTAAGAATCCAGATATTAACGCGCGGAGAGATTATTCTGCGTTTAGTAAACCATTGTCTTTTACAATATGTAGATGATAACACACAAAGCCATTAGAAATAACATGCATGAGCTGGCTGTTGAGCAGCATTTTCCAGAAAGAACAAACAAAGTGCATGAGGAGATAGAGAATTTATTCCTGGAGAATATTGTCCATAATGTATGTGTTTAATCGCTCCGTGGTGAGCAACGCATAAAAAAATCTCCGGAATTAACAGCCATCACTGAAAATGAGCCACTTGGAAAGAGAGAGGAAGAAGTGAAGCGCGAGAAACTAGGGATTCGAAACGATCTTGACAAAGCAAAAGCAAAGTAAAGAGAAATGAGTTCTTGTCCTGCAAAACGTCTCGTGGAAATTTATGAGATTTGTCACTATTCGCCATGATAAATTTATATTTAAAAATGTATTTAACATATTTATTTATGAAGTTATATGTGCCCCTTTGATACACAAGCGGTCGTCGATTCGATGACGCGACGTAGCTCACCAAGTCTTCCTTCTTTCCACGGTAGGCGAATTGGGACCAGACTTGTCTGGGATGGTAATAGCACTGACTCTATACATTGGCAGACCTCTGAGACTCATTTTGTAGACCAGATATGTACTCAATCACCTCCAAACCATGCGTAATGAAGTCGAATGCATGGCGCATCCATCGGAGATTGTTCAAAGCCGAGAGCTTTATTCTTTATTCTTCTTTTTATGCATATATGTGAGATGTTTTCCCTATCCTCTCTTCAGTAGACATGAGAAAACTTCTTAATGTCCATCATAGATAACTTTGTCTTAATAGGTTACCTCTGCCCAGTAAGTCGTGGAATAATTAGGAACAATTCGATTATTAGTCTGACACTGACACACCTGCCACTGTGAAGCGCTCTCTTATGCACAACGAATGACCGCGCCAGGTGTTTTCTAGAGCATATATGTACATAGTATACCAGAAAGAATAGATATTGTACCTTTCTTTCGCACTCGAGCACAACAGGTGTTTGTGCACATGTACATATATGCATATATATATATACGCGTTTATATGCATACATACATGCATATATATGTAAGAATATATATAATTATATATGGTTAAGAAAGCGCGAGTCAGCTCAGTCACAACGAGTGGTCTTCAAATCGGCTCCCCACGGTACTAACCAAGTTTTCTATCCTTTCGATTTCAGAGAATTAGTACCAGGTTTGTACGGCAAAAGTTGTCTACAATCACGAAAGACGGTGACTGCCTCTTTCATTAATACTTAGGAATCCTCCAAAATAGTTATTCCAGGATTCTATGGAGGATTTCCTGGATCATCATTCAATAAGATTTAGCATGAAAATATGAAGAGATATGTACAAAGTAAAAACTGAGCGAGGTACATACGAATACAATAAACAAAATAACTAATAAACAAAATATATACGCGCATTCATGTCTGTATATGTATGCATGCATATATATATGTGCACACGCCTTTGTGTATCAATGTGTGTATGCACGTTGGCATGTAAATGTAAATGTGGATATATTTAGGCATGTGTGCATGTGAATCGCCACGAATGAGGAAAAAAGGTGGCAAGGGGCGGTCAGGTCCCACCTCCTGGTGCTTCATATGGTGACCCAATGCCCCGTACCGTCTTAACGGCTTCCGCAAAAGGAGTTTCAGCTGCTTTCTAATGATTGTAGCAGAAGAGGGCTTGGGTTAGCTACTCGACTAACATGTTTAACCCATGATATACTATCTGCTCAAGAGAGCCCAGCACCTCACAACTGCTCATAGCAACGCGCCGGTTTTGCTTGTACGGATCATTTTACCCTCCCTCGTAATTGATTTAGCCCTATAGTGTTGACATAATGGCAAGAAGCACATCGCATGGTCTGGCGCTAGACAATGCAGGAGAGCTTAGTGTGCTCGAGCTAACAATGACGAAATTATTCTACCGGCTTTTAATCTTCTACTACGATCTTTTAATCCACCGTTTTATTCTGTTTGCATTTGCTTCACAGTAACGTTTTTCTCATCCGTCTTCGTTACATTAGTCGAGCCTTGTTATTTGGCCTCGATTTCTTTTCTTCAGCATTGGGATCATTTTCTATTTACACTGATTTATTTGGTACTTCAATTTTTTAAAAACTTGAATATTGTGAAGATTTTGGGTTGATTCAAATCTTATTATATGCAGAATTCATAATCCAAATTATAAATTTAGGCCGACCGATCCTTATCTGCTATATGAATCTGCTTCGCTATTTATTCTTGTACTATTAATATTTATGACAAAGGAGAACCAAAGGAACTTATGACATCGTCTTGATGAGCATTCTCGTACTGGGCCTACCACTCTTCCTATCAGCATATTCACACTGCGCATCTGGTAACCACTACTCCGAATTTGCCATAATCCCACCACAAATACAAGCGAATTCTAGAGTTCAACTCAGAAAGCCTGGCATTTCGCGTTATAGCATTTACGTGAAAAATCGTACTATTTGTCATTTCGAAACCTCCGCAATCCCTTGTGAATGCGTGCTGGAGGTGTCCGACTCGTATGTCCTCGAGGAGAATGGGACTAAAATTGCAATGTTCTCTGCAGGACTGCCAGATATTCAGATCGAAGTACCCTGCAAGCATGATTTGCTCCAAAATTTGGAAGTACATATTACGGCTGGACTATGCATAGCTCAGGAATTCAGAGTGCAACTTCTTTATCGGGCTTTCGAAGTATTTTCTAAAGCTGACTCGAAGGTAGTGGCAAAAACTTCCACAATTTTGCACACCACCGCCGTCCGTATCCCGTTTTCATGCGAAAACTTTGCTAATGCAGGCTTCTACAGCGTCCAACTCGTGAATTCGTTTGGACACGTTATTCAGGTAATTATTTTCTTCAGCTTTTATTCTAGAGTCAGTATCGACCACTGAACCACTTTATCCATCTTCACTTATCGTATTCTGTTATAAGACAGTTCTATCGTAGTGTATTCGCTTTAACACTTGCTGTCTTGCTTTTCGCTAACAAATCGCGGTTCATTTAGCGCTTTGGAATTTCTATGGCTGTTGATGGCGAGATGAATTGCAAGGGAGTAGTATCCCACGGGAGGTGAAAGATAATTACATGCGCTGCTACGGTTTTAAACAATCCAATGGCAGAGATGTGCATCCGACATCGATTCAAACTCGGTTACTTGTTTTCATCGTTCAGAGTGAGCAATGGATTCTCGTGAACGAAACAGCCAGTGTATCATTGCAACTACGAAACGATAGCATATTTCCGCACTGCGTAAAGGATTTCCCAATCCAGTGGAAAACAGCTAAATGTGACGCAGCCCGACTGAACTATCGTCTCCGTGTCTCAGCTATACCAGAAGGCAGCATCAATCATGAATATCGTTCACATTACATCGGTAGGCACTATTATACTAAATATTAACTCGAAAGAGTTGTAAAAACTTAGCAGGAGTGAAGTGCTGTTTTCCTATTTTGTGTTGAGTAGTGTCTACTGAAAAATCAATACGCAAAAGAATTGTTGTCGAAATTATTTTGCATTTTAGCCTCCTCCGACTAAAATTCTAAAGTGGCCTTCTCGAATTTTGCTTTTGTGATTGAAAAAGTTGTTCCTTAACAGATAGAATTATTCAGTGCTGACTCAGGTACATATTTCAGAAGAAATAAGCATCACATCAGAACAAGCGTCACTTAGCGTCGAATGTTCTCAGTTCGACATTTTCTATGAAAAGTACTGTTTCGAGCTAGTTTCAGTAGATGTCATTTCGGATACCTTTCATCTCTGGAGGTCCATTTGTGTGAGCACTGAACCAGGTAAGTGCTGTGACCTTGCGTTTAAATTTTATTTAACACAGCGAATTGCACTTTCAGTGATTACCATTCTTTTTTTCATCATACTTTTTCTGTTAAAGGAAGAAATTTTTTTGAACTAAGAAAAAATTTTTTTACACAAGCTGCCTTTAGAACGCGTTGGTTTTTCCTCCTTCTTTTTCGATAAAAATGTTAATAGTTGTCTAAACAACTGCACTAATGGTTATCGTTCTTTCCTTGCAACCTCGCTCATTTTCAAAGGACAATTTCTTCTTTAGAAATATCGTTTGTTTTTCAATCGCTATTCTGTTTTGGCTACTTGTAGAGATCGAGTTATGGGCGCGTTCTGCCTCTTCCGCTGGCTGTCTTGAGCGATATTAGCTCATGCCATTATACGCCGCAATTACTAATATGAGAGTTATGCCTTCTAGGCCTGTGCTCTTGACAAAGCCAATCTCGTATAGGCTGGACAAGATTATAGCAATAAATGAAAGCTCTGATCAATGTTTAATTCTATACAATGGCTCTATCTTGAAACTGGTGAACGCGAGCACTGCAAACCTCCAGTTTGTGTTGATTTTCGGTGAATTTTCAATTCATCTGAATCGTTTTTGTAGAATAACTTACACACGAAGTTCTTCTTCTATACCATTTTGTTAACTACAGCTTAAGTTACAAGTAGTTTAAGCCTAGTTTGTCAAAAAGTACTATATATTGACCTTTAAGACACGTATGAACTAGTCGCTACTCTGTTTTGCTTCCTCCCTTCTTGTCTCAGCAGATACTGCGGATTATTCTGCGTTGCTGTCCGTACACGTTTGAACATTTGCTCTTGCGCTGGAAAACTCGTCAGAAAAGGTTTTTGCAAAGTATTTTGTATAGAAAACAAAAACAGTCTTTTACGGACCATGTATGAGAAAATATCTGTGTTGGAAATCTATCGACTGAAAAAAGTGTAGCAAATGGTCTCCCTGCCAAGAAAGGGCGGACACGCACTTAAATAAACGGTCTGCTTTGTCGACCTGTTTTTGTGTTAATATCAATGGTTATGGCCACTAAAATGCACTAAAGTGCAAAAAGGCGGTCGAACACTTCTCAGTCAAAATCTGAGGGAATTTGTGGATGAACGTTCGAATTTATCGTATAAGCAGCATATGATTGGCATAGGTGTGCTTTGAGTTATTTTTTTCAAAAGTAAAAGCTGGGGAATATTTTTGAAGAGCTAACTGATCGATGATGCTGTTTGTTGTTATCTAATTCTATTGGCACACATGCGATGAACGATGCTTCATCAACGAAACAAAGCTGTCATCGCTTAAAATGTACGAGCGAATGGGGGTAATTACTAGAGCTCCCATATGTTCTATGAGGAACCCCTGCTAGAACAAAGCACAATGGGCTTTACCTGGACCTCCTTGTGCTTGATGGACCTAGCAGAAGGTTCTAATGAACAGCTGCTGCTTTTATTCTAATCATAAACATTAGCACATATTCATACAATAGCTGTACGGGGCACATTAATTAGTTCTAGTGAAGTTGAAATTGTATGAACCGAAACATTTCTTGAGCTAAATCTCTGCAAATCTGCAAAACTCCTTTGCCAGTGATGGATGTAAAAAATCCAATTGTAAAAAAGTTATTTTAAAGCTGTTAAGTGTTAATGAAGTTGTCACTCATTACACGAAGGTACTGCTGTATTAAAGTTAGAGGTATTCGGCGCAGTTATTTTCAAAAGCGTGCTCAGTATTACTCAAGCACATCACTCATATTTTTCAGTTGGGGAAGAAGACCATTGTTTCCGTTGTGATTATTATCTACATAAATTTTATAAAAAATGAGAAAGAGGCCTATTGAGGAACGAAGGAAGCGCCGCATACTTCAATTTGAGTGTTATTAACCGTTGCTAGTGGTTTGGTAATAAAAAAGGAATTGGTTCTTAATCTTTGTCAAGAAATGCTTAGGCCTCCAATATTTGCATGGCTAAAGTGATGAAATTGTAAAGGCGAAAGGTAACCGAATTGCCACATTGTTACCTAAGTTAAATGCATTTTCGTTGTACGGTTCATGCGAAACGAACTTTCAGTTTCTCGAACGGACGGCTCGTGGGGAAGTTGGTCAGCATGGACAGACTGCTCGAAAACGTGTGGAACATCAGTTCAGAAGCGCTATCGGTTTTGTGAAAATCCGAAGCCGGAACGAGGCAAGAACTGCAAAGGACAAGTGATTGAAACTAGAGCATGCAAAAGACCAATGTGTCAAGGTGACTCTTTGCATCTACAAGAAAGTGCACAAACGAGAAATAAGTGAAATAGTATGTAGCAAATTCCAACATGGATACAGTTTGTTTGAAGCACTCGAGAACCAGAAACGATGAAAAAAACACATATCCATAAAGCAGTGCTAAAAGATGAGGCAAAAAGCAATATTCATCAAATTAGTACATTTGATTGCCTGTTGTTGCCGTTATTCCTCGACCATGTAGCGTTCCTGTATATACGATGATGCTAAACTTGCGCAAATATTCAGAACGAAGACGCTCTAAAGGTGTTTTAATGGCGTACTACTTTTTATTTGTTCTTTTACACAATGAACCAAGCCTGCTGTATTTCTGCGTTATTCAATTAACCAAAGATTGCATTTCAACGACATGAAATATTCCTTCGTTGGAGTACCTACGCATTCGTTGGCCTTTAGGATTAGCGCCACTATTTGCACTGCAGCGCTGGTTGTCCATTTTATGTATTCCTTGAGGGGTGTGAGTAGCGCAATGGGTAGAGGTGCCCTATAAGGCTTCCGTTTTTATCAGTTCCGATTCCGCTCTCTGGGCTCACTATTCTTTTAACACTCCGAGATTTGCCGAATTGCTACCAGACTTGCCTAGGAAGATAGGGCCATTGACTTAATATACCGGTAGGCCATTTCAAGTTGTTGTGAAAGCCCTGGCCCATCCCAGAGAGATTAATCAAAACCGAGAGCGTTTCCACTTATCCTTTGTGCCCTGTTTGCAACAACACACGATCTCAACTCAACAGCATGTCTTTCAGAGCTGGATAATGTGCCTCCTACTGTGGAAAATTGCACGTGTGGATGCGAAATGAGTGGAAGATCAGGGTCTTTTTTCACAACAGCAGCGTAAGAATACGATTAACGCTTAACATTGTCACTTTTACAACTGTCACTGGCCATCGTTGTCTTTTGTTACAAACACTTATGTGTCTAACATCTGTTCGCCTAGTTTTCTTATACGATTCCGTTAATTTTCATATTGACATATAGCGACCGAAGTTCAAACTTGCGTCGCTGCAGTGTTTTTGACGGTGCCTAATTCAGTGTGGATCACGGATTTGGGCAACTCGGCCGCTGTTGAAACACATTTAACAATACCGATTTTTCGACAGTAGACGGTATTTTTTCGATAACTTGAAGACCAGAGGGTTTGTGATTGTAACAGAATTATAGAAGATGCCTTAACTTATCGATGTAGAGGTGCCCATATTACTGCGGTCCCACCATATAACGACAACGTTGCAAACAAGTTTTCCGCAATGTTTAGTGAATATCGGTATTTTTGCATTCGGGTAATCATTTGAGGTTATCACTTCACGAAATTATCGAGTGGTCTTTACCACCAATTCACGCCTGTCCAAAAATCTTCCGCTTTTAAGTAACTATGTCCTAGTTTATAATGAGCGCCACTAATTGAAAGAAAAGATATTGGAATCTATGAATTATTGCCAACCACACATCAGTGTTTCTACGTTGATAAAATTAAAATCGTCTTTTCTTGTTCCCTTGAAAATTCGTACTGCGAGTAGACGTCAAATGGAAATAACACTTTAGAAAAGTTATTACACTTCCGTAAAGATATAGAGCAATGCTTTCTTGACCTCAAGTAACAATTTTCCCCAGTACTCCAGCGCCAGAAAATGTTGCGAATTTGAAAATATGCTTCTTTCGCTATGCAAGGCATATGAAATTCAATTTCTCACCAGTAGTTGACTGTTATTTCGCCTCACTTTATTCGTTTTAACGAGTCCTGTTAAAGCGGATATAATTTCAAATAACCCAGGTCACTCTTCTGTGACTAATAGAAAATTCTCTGTAAAATCCTGACGAAAATGGAAAGTGCACCAATAAAGTATCCAGGCTCAATCGACTCTTAATCGAGAGTGGCAAAGAAAAAACTAAGAGAAATGGAGGACAACATGAGAAATCTTCTTCTTTCTGTCGAGGAGTCTTAATAAAGTGGATTTGCGAAAGATGACGAAGGGGTTGATAATGAAATCAGGCATCTAACAATGAAATGCTTCACACCATTAGACTTTCGATGCGAATAATGCACTTGCATGGTTTAAAATATTCAAACTGTGCCCAAGAGGTGGCTCAATTTGCAAAAATTCGTATACAGCTAGCGAGCCGTCCATAAAAGGCGATGTGGTTCAGTGCACTAAAACATTACTGTACAGTGTATCTCGTAAGAAAGCATCATAAATACATCATAGGTAAAGAGCTATTTCTACGTAAAGATTTTAAGAATTTAAAGTTGTATTCAAAGACTGTAGGGGGCGTGTGGCGCAGTGGTCGGAGGCACACTGCAACACAAAGGTGGAATCGATCCCCGCGCCGCGGGCCCACCAAATTTTCCATCTCTCCGGGGTCGGCAAATTGGTACCAGACTTGTCTGCGAGGATAACAGCACTGGTTCGATACATCGGTAGGCCACGGCGAGTCACTGTAGAAGCCGGATATGAATTCAATTACCTCCAAACGTTGCTTAATAATGAAGTCAAATGCACGGCGCATCTCTCAGGAATTGATAAACGCCGAGGGCTTTATCCTTTTTATCCTTTTTTATTCAAAGACTGTTAATGTAATACGTTAAATTATATATATATATATATATATACGTGTGTGTGTGTGTGTGTGTGTGTGTGTGTGTGGTGTGTAAATTAATTCTTCATAGATTTTAGATTGCATAGCCAATATAACCTGTCCTCTTTATCAGCAATAGTCTCTCTCCTTGAAATTGGTCTCGCATAAGCCTTCGATCGAATTCAAAAAGTGCAGCAAAGAGCCTCTGCCTAACAAAATAAACCAGCAAAAAATTAAATGTGCTGCGATTCAAGTTTTGTTCAACACCTTCCAAGTTGCACAACAACATTTGTTATTGGACTCTCCTTCAGCAGGCAATTCCTACAAACTTGTGTAAAGTTAGTTCATGGGTGCCCTTTTTCAACATAAGCCAAAATGTTTTCGTTTTCTGTTTTATGACGGATATGTAATTCGTACGCATTTGTAGAGACGCGCACTTGTGTAGTGGAAATCGAACATGGTCCATGCGAAGTCCAAGCCACCCTGTCGTTTCCGATTTTAAAATCACCGCAGATGTTCACGCTCTGGGGAAGCTATTTTTCTTCATTGGCTCGTCACTCGAGGTTGTCATTTTTTGCAATTTGGATACAGAATTGTACAGTTCTTTCTGAATTTGACTTTCTTATTTAGGAGTTGGTTTGGTTTTCTGGATCGAATCAGGACCAAGAATTTACACTGCAAGTTGACCGACCTATCTTCATTGTGTTTTGGTATAAGGGAAACAGTTCCTTGTTGCAACAACGTGAAGGCTTCACTGTAGTCTATTCCACACGAGGCAAGCGTTATATTTGACAAATTACGATTGCAATAGTTTCGCTTAATAGTGCAAGCTTGCTTTGTTTACGTTATCTATCTTATCAAACTGGACCATCCATAATTTAAATAGGCCTTCCACGACCTCTCCGAAAGATTTTTTGAAGTTGTGAAGACCTGGAATTTTGATTTGTAAAAGGCAGTAAATAAAAAGTCAGCATTGTGGATTTCAACTATAACCTCAGCTTAAATGGGTTCAATGCCGATTTCAGCTCTCCAGATCAATCCCATTGACGGGTGACTGCTGATGGCAGTGATCTATTGGTAATTATTAGTATTAAAGCTGTCAAGCACAAGTAGCTTTAACGATAGAATAATATTAGATTCTAAGCAACCAAAAGGGTGAATGTGATGTGTTTATCGATATTTCAAAATTGAAACATTTTGGACATATTTGTGAAGGCATGGTATTCAGATGCGCCGACGCATTTCCCTCTACGAGGCTCCACCAAATTCTATTCGCTGCATTCCAAAATGCTTGTCATCTCCTCTTTATTCATTTCGTTTTTGCTGATTATTTTTATCCCACCATTTCTGTGTGCCACCATCACCAAGAAACTGCGACATCACAGCATTCGCGAGAACTCAACAATAGACAAAGTGTTAGTATGACATCTAATGCATTTAAATTTTAAGCATATTCTCTAGTTATTGGTTACGAATTTTTTTCCATCGCAGAAATTACACATTTTCATTCGCGTGAACTTGAAGTCTTTAGATACAATAGCGCGATGATCCAGTCTGGAAATACAGAAACAACACAAGTATATGGAGAAAAGTCGACCGGTTTCATATCAAAGAAAAGTATTGGAATCCAGCTTAGTGTGCAAAATACACCAAGGTATTTTGCTGTTTTCGAGAATAAACAGGGTAAACATAGATAACCACCAAATCATTTCTCTTATAAAATCCGCCCTACATAAAAGATGGCATACATTTACTTTCAATTTCGCCATAGTGTTCAATATCGTAGGTCTTCAGGCTTTCTCGCGCCGGAGTGCAAGCCGAGTCGCCGCTACCGCGTGGAACTTCGTCGATGTCGGCATCAGATGAGTTAGAGTACGATTACTATGATGGTACCACTATTCCTGGATCACTTCTTGCACCTGTCAACAATCATATGACGTCAATAATCGATATCGACCAAATAATAGGAGAATCGTCAATATTCTCAATTCGAGATGAGAGTCAGAACGCACACACTCAAATATAAGCCAGAATCCGGTGTATAGAATCCGTATTTAACTGAATATTCATGTTTATAAAAATTTGTTATAGCTGGTAAAGATGTCGGTTTTACTAAATTTTTGGACATCAAGGCTAAGTAATCCGGCGAGGTTCGTAGCCTTCGTGAACGTTATTTTCTTATACTCATTGCTTTTATGTTTGGCAGAACATATTGTTTCTAACAAGTATTAACAACGAGTGTGATACTTTTCACTCTGACTCAATGGAGACGGCCTTAAGCCATTCCATGGAAGAAGAATTTCATGATATCTTTTCACCTCACTCTAACTTCAGCACATTCTTGAGTTTCTGGAATTACATCCAACAACGTCATCACCAGAAATTAATGTGTCGGTAAAAATCAATTATTGTTTAAGTAATTTAAGCCTCCCACCATTTCTCATTTTCTATTAAGATTTTTGTTGATCATTACATTATTCTGTTCTTGATGAGACGATATGCAGTGGCTAAAAAAACATCTACTCTACAACAACTTTGAACTTTCGCTCTCTACAGATCCTGAAAAGGACTGGCCGGTATATTACTTTCTAATAAATATTTCTACAAACCAACTGTGGGATACTACATACCACAGGAAACCGTGTTCCAGCCGCTCCCGTTATGAAAATTTTTTTGATTTTGTATTAAACAGGTACATTTATAAAATTATTATATTCGCACATTCTTTACATCTAATTTGTAAACTGTGGAGAATCCGTGGTTTGTCATATAATGTAGTAGAGATACCAGCATTTCTGGCATTCGTTTCGTTGTTCGAAAATCGTTATCTCTAAACGCGGTTGGGCTCACAGGTGATTCTGGCTGTGATTTGCGGATCTGATACCTTCGCCTCTCACTGTTACGCGGAGTGCTGGTCGAACGTAGCTTTTCCTGGAATAACAAAGTAGGTATGCCGAGGCATTACATTCATGTGTTAACGACGTCCATTCGTTGGGTCGTATGGAATGCAAAAAAGATTGTTGGTTTTTGACTTCCAAATGAAATCTCTCGGAGCTACGACGAACAATCAGTTCAGATCACTGAGTATTCCAGGACGATGTAATAAGCTCGAACACCTATGTAGGTAAAAATAACTTTGTCTTCCTGCACTCTTTCTTTCAAAAAAAAAACAGACACAGTGGTTAAGGGAAAAGGCTAAAGCGTTCGGCGTCATTCCCTTAGGAATTCCACTCCACTAAGTAACTTTAAGAAGATTGAATGCATAACTAGTTTATAGTACGATATATGGCGACCTACCGATCCATCAAGTCGTTTGCTTTATCCGACCAGGAAAGACTATTAGAAATTTGTCGACCCCACAGAGATGGAAAGACCCGAAGCATCAATTCGAACCAGTGACTGATCCAGCGTGTATTACAGTGCACCACAAACCAATGAGCTTCACGCACACTAGATGAGTATGGTGCGTATTTCTATCCATACCTTGGATCATAACTCACAGCAAAAGTGACACATTTAGATGGGTCGTTCTAAAGCCCTACAAAATTATTATTAAACTAGAGGGCACAAAGTCTCGCAAATCAGTGAGAAAAAGCGGCCGCATAGAAGCACTAGTTGATGCTCCAGCCAGAAATGTCCACAAAGAACAAAGAAAAAAAAGACAACAGAAAACAGGAAGTAGAGTTTGAGGGTTAAAGGCAACATTAACATTAAGAATCGCTGAAGCTAATTTTAGCAAAGGCGTAAGAAGATCGGTTGCCCTTTTGAACGTTCAACTACAATGTTGTGAAAGATGCTGTTTGCTAGATCACTACAACTCATCTCATTTTTCATTCATAAAAAAAATCCGATAATCAGAATGAGGTGCCAGTCAGCGAAATGACGGAACAAGCGAGATTACATCAAGGTCCATTCATCACTCGTTAAATACCCCGAATGCAAAATCGGTGCTTCCTGCCTCTGATATTGTGTTAAAAAAATATGATTAAAATTTCGAATTTTTTTTAAAACCTTGTAATTTAAAATTTTGAGAAACTCTGGAACTAGTATATTTCAGAAACTTTTACATACGGATCGACACATTTGTATGGTGAGGAAGGGCGTCTGTAGCGCAGTCGTTAGAGGAGCCCTGCAATTAACATGGAATCGATTCCGCGCTCCGGACTCACCAATCGTTCCTCTCCCTTGGGGTCGGTAAGCAGATGCCAGACTTGTCTAGAAGAATGAAAGCATTGACTCGCAGACCATCGTGAGTCATTATATAGACCAGGTATTTATTCAGCCACTTCTAACAATGCTTAATGATATCGAATGTATAGCGCATCTCTCACGGATTGGTCAACGCTGAGAGCTTTGTCTTCATTATCGCGAGCTTTCTTCAATGAGTTTTTAAGTTGTGGACTCCTTCAAATTTCGAGCTATCAACAAGGTATCGGATACTGCTTTTTACATATCAGTTTCCCGAATTCCTTGCGTAAGTTCGCCACTAAACTGAGTTGTTCATTGATTGTCGAGGCCGAGGTGCATTGCAAACCTGCTTTTTTCGTTCTTGAAATGTGATAGATGTTACACTGAAACAAGTTCCGAACACTTTTTACGAATTCCAGAATAATGAGGAGACCAACTGATAGGATAGACCCTAAGCTTGCACGATTTCAAATATCTCTCCATACATAAATAGAAAATGCCTCACCCTTAGAACATAAAGAGACAGAAGGTTTTCCACTATGTAGATTGAGAAAACGGCTTGCTTCTACAACTAAGAGGTTCTTGGACTTTGACATGCCGTCTCCGTAACCTTATGCAGTTAGAACAAACTCCTGCACATCCAGGAAAGGGGAATGCTAGAAACAAAAAGCCGAAGCAAAGGAAAATTGTGCAAAAAAGACGTTGTCTAGTCTAGTATAAGTGAAAGGCAGTAAATACGAAGATTTTGAAGTAGGCGAGCTTGGAAAGATTTCAACTTTAAACAAAGAAGCGTTGATATTGATCGCTGAGTTGGTCATTTGAGTGTGCACTAGTAGAGCGACCCGTAGAATTTGATTCAGGAGAGAGAGCCGTCGCATTCAGTGAAGTCGAAATTTGCTATCCTCATGTAATCGCGCCAAATCTCACTGAATTCAGTGCTTACTTGATCAAATATGTTTAAGGCTTTCAATTATAATCAAATGTACATTTAAGCAAATCTCGTCATTTTAAAGAGACCATTGGAGTCTAGAAAACTATATAAATTGATGGAAACCTCCCTATCACAATGATTCACCGATTTTTTTTTAGTTGACAAATCGTTATTTTTCCACGCCCTCTTCAGCGGCGACCAACTGAAGAAGCTGAATTTCATCTAAAAAACACGATGGTGTTGCTCAGTGTACCACTGGCTCCACCTACAAGCTGCCAAACTATGACGCAAAAGGTGGAAAAGTAAGCGCAATGATCAAGATTTAGGTATTTTCGATTCGATTTTTCTAAAAAGCTGAGAAGCAGTTTTCAGTGTTATGAAATCAAAAACATGACGCATTCTTTAGAGATTGATCAACACCGAGAGCTTTATCCCCTATCACGTTTCCTTTCCTACTAATTCTGAGATTTCACCATATACAGTGACCATACAATGAGCAGTTTCAATATAACGTTGTTGCGTTGATAGAACTTCTGTGCTATGGCAATTATAAGGATTAAATTAATGAGCTGAAGTATAATAATATAATCATCTTCCTGGAGTGTATACCATGTTGATTCTGCAAATTGGGTTTTATGGGTTCTACTCACCATGATTCCTTCAGTCACTCTTCTTCAACACGATCACCGTATCTATGACCTTTCCCTTCCGACGAAATGTTGTAACTTTGGTTACCAGCAGCGCATGTAGTTGGTGGCCACTAGCTCGAAGAAGTTAGCCATAGTGGAGTCAGGTTTTAGAGATATGTCTCTCTTCGCACTTTGCTTGCAAACTTAATTTTGGAATTAATAAGTCATGGTTGGTCTTCTACGGCGGAATTTTGGTTTGGGGTCGCGTAACGGAAAAAAATTCAAGTGAAAAAATTTTGACTACCAATGCTTTAGTAACTCAAAGTCAGTGTATCAGTGTTTTGTAATGGGTCTTTGTTGACCTGACTTCAACAGTTTCTTTTTTCCTGTCTCTTTGTGATCCTTTCTAGATAAAGTGGATTGTATACAATAGTATGGTAGTGGAAAAGACGCAACTTTAACCTCTTGGTTGAAGATTTGACGCATTTTCTAACCAATTTTGGGGTTCTTTGACAATTAATGCCCAATCCTAGATCTATCTTGTGTTTACCTTCCATCCATACAAGGAAACGAGTTCGTCCAATGCTTTTAGATTTTCTCGCGCAGATTTCCTCCTGTGTGATTTTCTTTCCTGGGTGATGGCAGAAGCTCCTTCATGTATTTTCAGAACCCGCAATCATATAAGCCGCGCGTAATAGTAGGAATGAATAAATAGATTACGGCTATTGTGTTCAGACCATAGGCGAAATAGAAATAGGCCTTTACCTACGTTTATCCTTATCCCACACACCTGCACTATCGAGTAATTCTGCATGATACAGTATGGTTGATGTGCAAAACTTCAGATTGAATAGATGCTGTTCAAGAAACAATTTTGGATCACATGTACAGCGCTGTTATTCACGTTTTTCTAGATTTTTGCTTCTGTGTGAACAGTAGTTGCACAAACTGTTATTACACGCATGATGATGGTGAGCAACAGGATTTGCTCCTCTTATAGATTGGGATACGCAGTCTTAATTTAATAGGTATATCGTCATGATTAATGAAAAAGAAGCAAAAAAGAGCAAGGCGACGTAGAACTTGTACTTGCAAATTCTTACTATCTCATCACTCAGCTTAATGTTATGCTTGAAGGTGAAGTCGTTTGTCACTAACCAGATTGAAGCAATAACAATGGATCCAAAAGCCGTGTTACACCACATGCACAACGACCACGTCGTCATCCAACTCCGATCAGGCCACTCTCGAAAACAACACCCCTCAGACAGTTTGTCATCGCCATCGTCTCACTTAGATCAACAAACTCCAACTTGTTCAACTTAAATACTTTATATGATACGCATTAGTGAATGCGTCATGAGTTTCCTTTTAAATAACTTTTTAGGTTCACCATTCTCTGATAATCTATGCAATTCATTTTGCATTAGACAAAACAAATATTTGCCCTCTTCGAAATACCTTGTCTGATCTATGGAGATGCGAACTCATTTCTCTTCGACTTTCCGCCGCTGTGCAATGAAGACATGGATTTTCCTCATCAGTAGTATTCAAAGAGCTACAATAACTGTAGTGATTTCTTTTGAAAACACGCTAGTAATTTCGTTCCTCTCGCTTTGCTACTCTTCAGTAGACCACTGTGTCGCTCATAGCAATTATTTCTTCTCTTCGGAGCTACGCATTGACGGAAATAATGAGGAATTGGTATTCAACAACTCGTTAAGAGAACATCATTCTAATGATGTTATCTATTCAATCGTCTTTAGGATAGGTCATATCAAAACAGTTGATTGTTGATACTTTCAAAATTCCAAGGTAGAAAAGACAAATAAAAGCAATCTTAAATGAAGCCTTAAATATCTTAAAGCTTGAGAAGTTTTTCTACTTGCTATGTATTTTTGACCAGCGGTGATATTGTTTCACATCACTTATCCCTTTGCCTTCGCCACCGGTTAAAGCACAAAATAAGTACTTGGCTCTCAGCCTAGTACATAGTGAAATGGTTTAGAATTGTCAGATTTTCGTAACAAGCGTCCATTCAATGTTTGAATAACTTTACAAACTATGTTTTCCTCATATGCAGAGATTCAAGAAAGTTTCAGCGGTGTACACAAACAATTATTTCCAAATTGCTTAGTAGAATACACTGCACATTTCTAGGACTGCTGTTATGCCATCTGAAGCTATCGATCTGAGCAAAGTTGGAAAGAAAGAGGGTCTCGAAATCTGGAGAGTCAATGTAAGACTTGCATCTCTCACTGTTTTTCTTTGGATTCTGCCATTCGACTATGCGGAGAGCGTTTTCACTCTCAGAGCTTCAGTACGCTTACCGTTATTTTGTTAAAGAAGTCGTTGTTTATTGTTCCTGGAGCGAGCAGAACCCAAGTATGTAACGAAATTGGTACAACTAAAGAACACTCCTAAAATAGAATGGGCGTACTTTTTTACAGTTGCATTTTATTCGAAGTAAGGAATTACTTTTTAAGTTTCTTACACGACCTGAGATCGCGTATTATATTGATCTCGAAACTTTTCGAGCTCAATTAGTTCCCCCGAATCTGATATCCACAAACGTCTTCGAACTTTTCTTGAGAGTTCCGCTGATGCTTGAAGATTTTGGTCTACTTTATCAATACCGTTGAATGCTGGTCGAGTCGACTTTCTGTGGAAACCTGGATAAGCTCTAGTACAGCGTCTCCATCCTGCATCACAGGCAAGCGCTTAATTTTGTAGAGTGGAGGTAGTGAACTGGTTGCAGACGTGGTTTAGTATCAATCTTCTTTTTCCGGAAGTGTGGTGTGTTTGGTGGCTTGAAGCAAGGCCGAACTAGCGCTTTGTTCCTGCTGTACTGTACCACTACCAGGATCTAACGCACTCCACCTAAATCTATAACACATATGGAGTTCTAACTGAAGACAGGGTTTAGTGCAAATCGAGAATCACTGGGGATATTTTTTTTACAATAGATACTAACCATAGCACTATAGTCCAACGGGACGAAAGCAAAACGATTTCATAACACATTTGAGAAAACGACAACTGTAGACAAATAATATAGGAATTGCAAAACGATGTGGATAACTTCGCGTTAATGCAGCAGTGGTTAGAGAATTGCGCTGGGCAGACCCAACCGTTTATTTCTCCGGGGTCAGTAAATTGCTATTGGACTTCTCTGAGAGAATAAAAACGCTGACTTGATATATCGTTGTGCTCATGCCAAACGTTTCAGCGTTCCATGAGTAAGTGGAAAATATTCTCTGTGATACAGAATGCTCGCTATAACAGTCTACACTCGTCTTTGCACTCCCTAAGAACTATGCAGCTAGATCAGGTGGCGCAGCAGACACATCTGTTATCCTGGAGTGCACATGGAACAATGGTAGCGAATCGAATTACAGCTCTGTAATGTACTTACCAGCTAGCAACTTCTTGGTACAAAGTCCACTCGCATGTGTGAGATGAATACGTTCGTGGATAGGGTTGGTAAAAGGCAATCAGTTACAGTGGAAAAGAGAAGTTCATTTCCAAAAACCTTCCGTGTTAGATGAAGGTACATACTTTATTCCGCATTTTGGACCTTATTTATATTCACACCTTAACTCCTGCTTAAAATTCTTTACAAGACATAAAGCTGAAGTTTTTCTTGATATTTTATAGCTGGAAATATTTTAGCAGTCAGGTCTGTCTGCTGCCTAGTAAAAATTTCTGATCAATCTCCACTAACTTTAAGTTAATTTAGATCAACTCCATAAAAATCTTTTGGTTTATTTGTTTTGCACGTCCTGTCATCATATAATTTGTTTCTGATTTAGCGACGGAAGAAAGGCAAAACCTAGGAAGGACGGCATCCTCGGTAAGACAGGACCAGCCGAGCTCCGAACAATGTTCGGTTCTGGTACCTGAAACCTGAAATTGCAACTCCGCTTTAGATCTAGTTCATTCTGAAGTGCTGCTCTTGTTGTAAAAACACTTCAGAATCCTTTTCTAGAGACTGCCTTATGTTGGGAGGATACTAGCGAATTACGATCACAGCTTCCTAATCTTATACAGCGAAATTATTTTAACTCTTACAACAAAAAACTTTGAATGAAAATTTTCAGCCTAAAGTCGGCAATTTTTCCACCACTTTCTGAGTGAAAATTGGGACATTTTCTGTGGTACCATCAACGTGTTGTGACAACACTAAGGGCCAAACACAAAATAATGCAGGTTTTCGTTAAAAACAGAAGGGTTCACTGACTCACGTTAGATACGCTTGGCTGGATTAGTCTTCAAATGTTTGTTCAGATCTATGTTGGTGTAAAACCCACGATCATTTTCAGAAGTTCAAGCTGGAACCAGTGCTTAAAACCCAATATGGGGAATTCTACACTGGTGACGCTTATGTGTGTCTACACGTAAGCATTTTCTTCAATATTTAGAAACATTATTTAGATGTAAAAAAGTAGATGTCCAAATTTTTCGAAAAGTTTACCTTTATTTAGTCAAAGAATCGTGACGAGTGGCATATACATTTCTGGATAGGAGAGGAAGCCACAACTGATGAGATGGGAACAGCAGCTATAACAACAGTCGAAATAGACCAGGCACTCAATGGTTTGCCAGTGCAACACCGAGAGATACAAAATCATGAATCTTCCCTGTTCCTCTCCTACTTTCCGAACGGAATCAGGTTGTCAATAAGAGCTGCATGAAACTACCATATTTCACAGAACAGCAGGCAGATAGTTATGCAGCTGGGCTATTCTTTATAGAAGCAAGCGACATGCCCCAACAAAAAACATGTCACCTATTTTTTGGGTTTCAAGCGGCACTTTCTATTCACTAGCATTTAAGCCGCTTGGCTTTCGGGTTTCATGAAAAGGTAGTGGTATTCTCAAAAACTTGTGAGCACACTATTATACTTGTTTTAGAGTTTTTACAAAATTTTCACTATCTTCTTTGAGCTGTTAAAGGATATCTTAGTTGTTGGAGTCTCTTTCCTTAAGTCTTCGGTTTTTTTTTGTTGAGATAGGACTACGTGATTAGGCCAAACTATTAACTGAATAGAGGAACATGACAAGTGAAAGTTGTAGAAAGGAATTTGCTTCTTTTGAAGATTCTTATCCTTATGCTATTCCTGTATAAAAGTCTACTAGAAATGATCCTAATGTCACCCTTTTAGATACCTAAAAGGAGGCTACGAGTCCGGATATAGGCATGTAGAGGACATGTACAAGAATTGGAAACCGAAGCTGTTTCATTGTAAAGGAAAACGAAATGTGCGCTGTATCCAGGTGTGTCCAAAACTAATATAATCAAATTATGAACCGCCGAAGTTGGCTCATTAGTCATGCGAAACAGGAACTTTGCTTGAACACCACATTAACTTTTTTCTCCACAGCGTTTTCTTAATGTAAACGTTCGATAGATCATTTTGTAGAGTTTTTTTCTTCTTGGTAAAAAAAGACTTACTTTTGATGTGCTAATGTAGTTTCCGCTTTTTTGGTTGTAGAAAATAAAATATGTGTATGAATAATCCACTCGAAGTCCTTTATGAGTGCAAACATAGAATCGCCACAAATATATTGTTGTGAAGCCTTGACTTTTGCTTTTTCAAAGGTTAAAAAAATTTTGTCAGTGTTTTTATACCAAAAACCACTTTAGATTGATTTAAATGTCGAATCGCTCAACCTTGGCGATGTCTTCATTTTGGATATGGGAAAAGATATATACGTCTGGATGCCACCAGACAGTGGCCGCCTCGAGAGAATTAAGGCAAGAACCTCAAACGTTACTTAAAACCGTCTTCTTTCTCATTCATAACATTTCAAAGGATTAGACATCTGAGGTAAAAAGCGTGAATTGCAGTATTTTAAGGTGGTAACGTAGATAAACATAACTTCAACTGTGATATTCACCACATAAACATCAAGACCATCAACAAAGTCCACTTTCGGAATTTATTTCCAGTCGCGAATCCTGATCATTTTACAGGGGATGTCTATTGCCAAAGACATTGCTCTTTCAGAACGACAAGGAAGATGCAATGTTCACATAATAGGTACTTCATATATTCTTTGTTTAACAGATACCTTTGACACTCACAAAAAATCAAATTAGCCTTCGGAAAAAAATCGCAAACTGAGAATTCCAGATAGTGATTGGGACAAGAACGAGGAGTTTTTTTCACACTTTGGCGGGACAAAGGTCATAGAAAAAATACCCAAAGCAAAAAATGATGATGAAAACTACTGGAAACAAACTACTGAACAAGTAACGCTGTACAGGTGACTGACTTCGCTATTTATGCAAAAGCGTGGCCAGCATTCCTTCTTTGCAGAGTTTCCGATGCCTTAGGCACTACGAAAGTGACGAAGGTGCCACAAGTGAAGCAAAAGGAACTTAATACAAACGTGAATTTGAACTTTCTTCATTTCGTCAAATTGCACTCGAAGCCGTTAAATAGGACCATTCACATTCACGACAACTAACAGATTTCTTTAACCTTCATCTTACATCTGTAATAGGATTCAAAACATCTTCAACAAGATCGTAAACGTACGAAAAATGTAGTACTTTCCACTCACCAGCTTTTATGGCTTCATTATTAGTTGAAAGCTGGCGCATAGCAGAATTACTGCTGAGCGAAATAGCTTCCAATTCTGCTCAAGTAGAAGCGCAACTGCAACGCAGCTCTTGAAAACCTCATAAACAAAAAGTTGAATAGATTTTTCATTCTTTTTATATCTGTTTGCTTGGCTTTAAGCCAAATAGTAATAAATGAAAGTGATACAGTTGATTATTTGCAATGTGATACTTTGGAGCTTACTCGTTTCTTGCATAGATTCACTGGACTCTTCCCATATTTTCTATCGAGATAGGAAAGAAAGTCTTCCAGTTAAGAGTCATCAGTTTCAAACAGGAATTGCTATAACAGAATGCTTTTTGCTGAAATCAAAAACCAATGCGTAATCTGTATTCCAGGACGCTTTCATTCTGGATACAGTTAACGGTGGAATTTTTGTCTGGATTGGAAAAAACTGCACATTGGGAGAGCGCTGTAATGCGATTTTATGGGGTGAAAAATACCTCAAAGAGAAGGCACGTCAATTTAACATTTAATAAAAGTTAGGACATATAAACAAAGCAGTCGTATTTTTTTCACTTAACCTAAGCAGTAAAGCTTATCCATTATAGTGCAAAATATATTTAATAGAATTTCTTTCAGCTTTATTTCAGAAGCTTCCTTCTTGGTCACAAATAACAACTGTTTTCGAAGGCTCCGAGCCTTCAACCTTCACTCAGTGGTACGTAATTTGTAAGTGCTCATTCTCTGTAGTGACCACTAAAAGGTCAAAAAAATGTGTAGGCTATTTTCTGAGCTGTTCCGTTTTTCGTAACTAGAATTTAATAATATCCTTTCTACTGTCTCCACAAAAACCTTTGCTATTGTAAGTTAACGATTTTCTTATTAACCTTTATTTCAATTTTTCGAACCCTCCATGCGCATACAGCGACTTTATACAATTCACAGAACCTCACACAAGTACTGCGCTGGAAATTGGGTAAATCTATTTCTTATGAAAAAACTGTACCGCACCTAATTCAAAAGGGTAGACCCGAGTTGAGAAGGGAAACTGGCAAATGGAAGCAGAGAGCAGTTGTTTGCACTGGAAATGAGTCTCTTTTTCAAACGCAAAAGTTAGAAATAATGGTCAGGCGCAACGTTGAAGACTCTGTTCAACAGTCTCGTCGCCAATCATCTAGCAAGCGCCTACAACAGGCGTTTCTTATGAAAAGACTTTACCGCACCTGAATCTCTGCAATTACTCTAGAAACTAGAAAAGAGAGAAAGATCCAAGCTGACATGTGTCGAAAAACTTGCTTTCTAGGTATTCGAAGCGCTAGAATACCGTTAAAATTGTGGGTTGCTAGTGTAAATGCCCGGACTTGTTTCGATTAACGACACTTTGTTGCTTACACATCCTTTTTCTTTAAGGAAAAAAACACTCTTGAAAATAGTATATGCCGTCGTTTTACCGCCAATTCTTAATTTGTGCTGGCACTGAAACGAACAATAAAAAGTTTTTTCATTAAAAAAATACGCATTTATTTTTCCACGCTTTAATTCTTAGGCCAGCAAAAAATTTCGAAAACTTTACATAAACGAAAGTTGAGGTAAATTACGTTGGGCGATGAACTAGATTCGAAGAAGCCCTTGAAATTATGATCTGAATTTACCGACGCAGTGTGGTGCTCCCTATGACATATTCTCAACTTTGACAGTGTAATATCGTTTTACAATCAACTACCCCATCTGCTCGCTTTTCTATTTGAGACAATCAACAAAGATGAATCTTAAACCGTCGGTATATATATATATATATATATATGTATATTTTATATTTGTGTATAAAGACAAATTTATGTACACATATGTGTACTTATTTTACTCAACCCGTCTTCACAACAGCTGCGCGGATCCTAGCACTTCTTGCATTCATTTCCATTCATCCGTCATCCACACAAGTTTCCCAACTTTTCGTGCATGGGTTTGACTGCTTATTGAGTCAACTTTTGGAATGTTGTTGAATGGTAGTCCAGTCGATCTTTTCTGGAGTTTTGTGATACCGGTTTTGAGTGTTCCCATTTTGGCAATGGAGAGTGAACTTTCTCAGACAAGTCTGGTACCAATTTCCAAACCGGCAGTGATGATAAGCTTAGTAAGCCGAATATGGGATCGAAGCAGTATCGTGCTCGTGATAAACGACATCGGCGTCTCTACCACTGCGCTACCCACTTCCTATATATACGTACAGGAATATACATGTATGTATATAGATATATCATAAATGTGTACGCAACATACACCGTATTACATACCTATATATGCATACATATAAACACATATGTTTATAATCACTGAAATAACAAGCAGTTTATTCGTCCTCAGTGAATTGTTATTTGAAAAAACTTTTTCATAGTCCGTTCGTTTAAATATTAGTCCAATCCGAAGTTGTAATCGTAAAACGAATGAAGAGTTGACCGGTCATTGCTACAAAAAAAAACCTAGCATGTTGTAATTTAAACGTCGCATAGGTTCGCTCAGTGGGTGGATGCTAAAGAAAAAAAGGCTTTCAAACCTCGTCTGTTTCAAGTATCCGACAGCAACGGAAGACTGGTGGTCGAGGAAATTGAAAACTTTGATCAAGAGGTGATCCATATACAGTTCACAGTACTTAATACATGTAAGAGGCGCTGGAATTTTTCCACTTCTAAATTTGTACTTCATACGAAGGAGACATGCAAACTGAATTGCAATTGCAAGTATACTTTTCCATCCCCATTCTTGGAAATCCCAAAAAACTTACGGCATTTTTTTTAAATTGCTGAAAGCTGTCGTCTTCACCACGGATTTTTCGATAAATTTCGACAATTTTTCGATAAGCAGACTGCGGGAAGAATTGAAGAATTAGCCTATATAAGAGACTTTGTTCTATCCTCTTCGGCGTCAACGCGGTTTGTTTTCCAGAAATTAAAAGTTGAACCTAAACTTTTTGATTCGCCAGTGTAAATGAGCTAACAGTCATTTCCGATATAGTCGGGGAAATCATCGCGTTCTGATGGACTAAGTCCCCCAATCTTGTTAGCGTCATTGTACCACAAAAGTGCCTCCGCGATAAAAAAAAAGCACAAAAAATTTAAAAGCCTGTTTGTCGTCTTGGTAGAATAGGAAACCATTCCCCTTGTCGTTAAGGTTCTGTTCGCACATGAAGTTTTTAATTTCACCTAAAGCTCCAATTGTTCGCTGAGCTATGTCTTTTCTTGCAATTTTCAATGCTAAATTGTTATCGGCTGCATAGAAGTCATGTATACTTCATATCGATATTGTCTCCAGCGTGTTAAAATGTTCACATGAATGAGATATTTGCAAAACTCTGGACCGCAGGTGTCTATGGTGGAGGATGAACGCGCTATTGTCCTTTCTGGTGAGTAACGCGTTTACCACCACACCATGCTGGTCCTTCGTTTCACCAGTCTCTCAGCTAGTTTTATCGATCTCTTGCCATCAGCAATCACCCGTCAGCGAGATTGGTGGTGAACGCGCTACTCCCCGGAAAGGATAATAGTGCTTTCGTTCCCCACCGAATACATCTGCGGTCCGGAGTTTTGCAAATATCTCAGCACCATTGAAGTTATATTTCACAATGTATACCCTGCCGTTAAAAAGAGTAGGAGGTAAATAGTAAGTTGAAATCTTTCTGCTTCTGTTTAGCAAACACGAGGTGTATTTCTTTATCACTCGTGATATTGCGCAGTATATAAGCCTGTTGTTCTGATGGGAGGGGCACATTACGTTTGCATGTGAACTCTGTGCGGTTGGTCTCCACGTGACATATTTAGTGGAAGACTCATAGAAAGCGATGAGTTGGCATCACTCTGTGTTCATTGTGATTGAAATTTTGGTTCAGCATTTTCTCTGTTTGGTTGTAAAGGTGTTTGGCCGTGTGAATTGTAGTCAACTTGACCTTTCCAGGCTCTCAGGAAGGCGAAATCCGCGGAAACATCAGCTTGTACGTAAATAAAGAACTAAAATAACACCTCGTGTTTGCTAAACAGAAGTAGAAAGAATTTTCAAAAGATTGTTAGGTCTTCATCTAGGAACTGCTACAATTGCTGCCGTCATCTTTTTGGCAACACAGAACAGTCGTTGCAAATTAAGTCATAACATCGCTGTCCTTACTATTTCTTTCTTAAATAGATGAACGAGAATGTTCAAAAAATGGTAATTCTTTTCGAACAGATGTGAGAGTACGTCAGTCAAGACGTGAATGGGTTACACAACTTATTGTTCTTTCTTACTTGTTAAGGAGAGTGTGCTGGATTCCGTACCTTAACTGTTTCAGAGTCTCGATGGCGATGACGTCATGATCGTGGATGCTCTTAGTAGCATTTTCGTATGGGTTGGTGCTGGAGCAAGTCTCAATGAGAAAGAAGGAGCTTTGAGTACAGCAAAGGTTCTAACACATTCGTGTATTTCTTTTGAAACGGCGCTTTCCAGTATTTAAGTGGGAAATATAGCCATTTTTTTATCCACTTATTTCTATCGTTTATAACCGAAAATAAAACAATTGGTTTGGAGGAAAGAGTGTTAGTTTTAGAAACTTCGTAGCGCCGTAGCGCACTTTACTGACAGGTCTGCTTCAAAATGGAAATGTCGACTTTCTTCACAGCTAGGGAGATCCTATGGGAATGAAACTCCCACTGTGCGAAGCATCTCGACACCCAGAAGGATTTCCTTTCACTACGAGACAATACACTGTTTGGAAATTTTAGCATTTTTTGCTTAATTTGATTCTTAAAACATTTTATAGAAATACTTGGAGCGGAACAACCTTCCACGTCAGGCAGACACACCAATCGAAACAATCTACCAGGGCAAGGAAACAGTTAATTTCAAGAAATGCTTTCCCAAATGGAATAACACGCTGTTTGAAAAGGTTAACAGGCTTTGCGAGTTATCTGTTCTAACGCTGAATGATTCCCGTTCGCGAAATTTCAGGGCGAACGTTCGTATGAGAAGATGAGGATGCTTCTCTTTAGTTGAAGACATATAGTTAGCTTATGTTCATTTCGCAACAAACTGGCTAATAGAATTAAAACCGTTTGCTTTCTACCATAAGTACATCTAAGTTTCTATCACGCCCAACTGTACTCATATATGCTGACCACTTTCTGTTTTTTCGTAGTTTGCCCGTACAATGTGATTGTTTCTTGTCTAATGTTTTCCCCAGAGCTACTCTTATGCTAAATACACGAGATATCGTACGATTTGTGTTTCGAATATAAATCGCGACTAGCTGCTAAGTTTAGTAGAGTAACCGCTTTGTAGATCTTTGTGGGATTTATAAACTTTGCAATTTTCCATAATAGAGTGTGGGTGGCCATATCGTTCAATAAGATGCACAGGGTCTTCGTTCGACCATGCACTGTAGCAGTCAAGCTTCCTATCCACTCGCTGTCGAAAAATTAGCAACAGACTTATCACAGAAGCTCCCTCCCTTCCACAAAGAGACTGATGACTGCCTGGGAGGATGGTCTGGGAATTTCCCGTACAGAGTTCTCCTTGGTTTCAGAGAGAATCTACACAAACAACATTCAACCATTCAACAACACTCCTGAAGAAAACCAAAGTCCTTAGGTATCAACAGGACTGAAATGCTAATCCAAAGACCATAATGGATGATGGATGCGGTGAAGCAAGTAGTACGAAAGAAGTATTGAGATTCACGCAATATGCGAACTCTAATCATGCAATGAAGTACTAAGAAAGACTTAGCGTAAAAAATATTTCTTTTTAAAAAAAGTTTGATGTTACCGAGAAAGGGCAGGTGTTTGCCAAACCTTTATTTACGACGTGCTTATTATTGTTTAAACCATAACGCACGGCGCTCAGTTATGCAAATCAGATTTATAGAAGAGATTATGATTTATCACTTTAGATGCATTTGCAATTCCATTTCCCGTTTCTTGCTTTATTGCATGATCCAGCCACGTCAGTCCCACAGTTTGGAACTGTCTTGTCATTTAAAACGCATCTATTTCGGCATTTCTTGCATCCGCCCACAACCGAGATTCATCTTAGCTAGTCATCATTAAAAGTGAACCAGCAGTCAAGGCGTTTACTCTTTAAAAATTAAGCTTCATGCGCCCCACTAACTGGGCTGTGTTTGACTCTTAGAAGAGCTCAATAAAAATTATAGAAGGCAGAAAATAAAAAGTAAAGATTGTGAATTCAACTATAACCTCGGCTTATTGGGTTAAATGCCGATTGGCTCCCCAGATCAATCCCGTTGACGGGTGATTGCTGATGGCAAAAGATTGATGGAACTAGCTGAGAGACAGGCGAAACGAAGGGCCTGCATAGTGGAGTGGTGAACGCGTTACTCACCGGAAAGGACAATAGCGCGTTCGTTCCCCACCGCAGACACCTGCGGTCCATAGTTTTGTAAATATCTCAGCAATCTTGTGGTTGTATTCTCCAGATGCGTCCTTTTCTTGTTTGGCATTTGCGAGATTGTTATACAGCATACGTATACTTCCGCACAAAACACATTCAACACAACGGTAGCTGACGTTTCGACAGCATCTCCTTATTCAGAGCCTAGAGGATTACACTGTTATGTAATTTGCTAGGTGAAACGCTTCAACAACACATACGGAAAGATAAAAATCTAAGTGATAACCACATGATCGGTACCTTCGCGAAAAATCCACCGTTTATACTTGCCTGATTCCACCACTTCACAACAACAATCGATTCAAAGGTACAGGGCTTGACCAAGTACGATCTCTGGGTATTCTTCCCTATTATTCATTCTAGGATTTTTGCACTTATCCAAAAAGCCTCAAGGAGATTGCGCGCTGGTGTTTTGGTATCCTGTACGAGGATAGTGACTTTTACATCGAAATCGTCTCCGCTATGCTTTTGTATCCTATGCGTCCCTAGTGCGGCATTCTGTCTTGCTTTTCGTTCACCATCTAGATGTTCTTTTATGCGAATGCATAAAAATTTGCCTGTTTCGCCAATATATTCGTCACCGCAAGTATTACAAGATGGCTATTTGCCGAGCCAAGTCGCACGATACCTCCTTTAGTTTTCTCTTCGTGCACACAGATGTGGTTGTTCGAAACACGTTCCTCACAATCGCCCTTTTGGTGCATCGAGGGTGAGAGAACAGAAAATGAACAAGTATTTTTTTGTTAATTGGTCTTGGGACCATTTTGCCACGTAACTGCTATCTGATAAATTAATTTGAACGTTAAGAAATGGAAGCGAATTCAATTTTTTTTTTGCCTTCTCCCAGGTGAATTTAATGTACTCAGACTGCTCGTTCCGTAATTCAAAGCAGTTGTCCATCTCTTCGTGAGCACAGAAGATGACAAAATATTCGTCGATATATTTTTAGTAGAGTATCGGCCGGAGATCGATAACAGAAGCTTCTATTTTAAACATGAACGCAACGGCATGGCTTGGTGGCAGCCGCTTTCCCATTGCCAATCTTCTAACTGGTGCGTACTATTTCCAAGACAATCTGAAAATGGAGCACTTTAGTCACTCTTTTAAGAGAGCAAAAAGCTTCTGAATAGACAAGCCATACATATGTACTGTTTCTTCATTTTGGACAAAAAGTTCGAGGTTGTCTAATATTGCGGAGTTATTCGATATGTTGGTGTAAAGCACGGAAACGTCGAAGGACTTCATCACGTACGCGTTGTAGGAAAACACGTTACGTAGACGTTCTAGGATCATTTCGGTGCTCATGAAGTAAGATGGAATAGTGTTAAGCAGCTGGGCAACTATTTGGCTTATAAACCATGTTATTCTCCGCGTTGGCCCGTCTACACAGCTGATGATGGATCTTTGTAGGATGATGGATTGGAAGACGCGAGATTACAGCTGATACTAACTTACATGTTTTAATAAGTGTAAAACAAGACATTTTTATCTGCTCATTTTACAGTGTCATATAACGCATAATTTTAAGCCTGCATCCTTTGCCACTTTGACCCGTTCATTATGGATTTTTCACCTTTCAATGAGGAACGAGTTTGCTTATGCGAATTTTAACAAATCTGGGTTCAAGGATGCGATGAGGTCGTTTAAGCCAGTTTCTTCTCCGGCATAGTTTCTGAAGTATTTCTTCCACAAGACTGTCGAAATGCTTGAAGAAATGGTATTCTCTAAAAGAAAGGTCTGGTCAGTAAGAAGGACGCAGGTAGTGGAGACTTATTGTAGGTGGAGAATATCCTTACAACGTGTCTTTCTTTTTGTGCAATTTGTCTTTGAGAAGGATCGTGATACCCCAATCACTAAGCTATTCGTCGCTGGCCATAGAGACTGTCCTTTTTTGTCTCAAGTCACAATGCGGTCGACTAACAAAACGTTCTGGTTACGCCGAAGAAACGCTAACGATACTTCAAAATCGCGACTTTTTTGTCTCTCGTTCAACCCATGTGGCATCCACCTGTCTAGTATCTTCAACTCTAAGACTTGTGCATGTTCCATAACAGTCGAAATGCTCACACCTAGTTTTTCTTTAAGTTCCCAAACAGCTGCGTGTGCAAAAAAAACTAAAAAAACGATCAACTTCCCATTAAACTCACCAATGATAAATAATTCAGTTTTTTTGATGAGCAAACACTGCCCAGTTATTAACAACAGCTGAAATTCCGGCGTTTCGCCTTATTTAGAACTTGGGATGGCGAATCTACTTTCATAGCAACAGCAGGTTTGGGGTGGGTTAATTTCAGCCTTAAAATGGAAGCCGGTCTTCATTCGATTTTTCTCCGTTGAGTTCTATGTGCTTCGTCTTCGGCTGTTAGTTTAATAATTCAAAACATCGGCTAATCAGCTCTGAGCTGGTGGCAAACCAGTCTTCGCTATAGCTACAGTAGAATCGCAGTAGCAGAAGACCGAGTACAAGGGCTTCAACTTTAGACGAGACTGGAATGGCGAGGATTGGTGTCAAACCCTTTCAGTGGTGAGTAGTGTTTCTCTGACCATCTCTGGAATATTTGGGTAATTGTAAGGAGTACAGTGGTCTCTTTAAGCATGGTAATAAGTATTAGTGTCGAAAGCAAAGCTATCTCACTCGTGGGCCCGTCTAAACAACTGGTGATGAGTTTAGATTTTAAGGTTGAGGGGTCGGTAGATACCAGATTACCAGATCATCACTGAATACTAGCTTATGAGTGCTGATAAGTAGGCCCAAGATGGCTCATATTAATAAGTCACCCCAAGAAATGACTCCACTGAGTTCTTGTAGTTTTCGCAATACATACTGGTCTTCTACTTTTTTTTGTTAGTATATTCCTTCCGTCCTTGTATGAATTCTGTCGTTTCGGAATATTCCAATATCTGATTCAGTGTTGAGAAAAACACCCTCACCAGCCAGCAACCGACTAATGTTTGAAGTTTTTAATGATAGTCTGTAAGCACTTACAAAGTGTACTTGGATAATTTTAAAGGTTTTTTTTTTAAATATGAGGGAATGAAAGAATTGGA